CAAGAAAGATTGAAGAAGCGGTAGCCAATAAGGGCTATTTGTGACACGGTTCCCTTGAATGTACACATAATGCTACTGAGTCGGACAAATAAATCAGCAACTGTTTTGCCGCTTCGTCAATTGGGATACACATGTCCTCGTAACAACATAGCCATAAGGTTGTAAGGTTAAGGCATTGCGCCCTCCTATAACAACCTTTTTTTCGCGTGAACTCACCTTGTAAGGAATTACAATTCCTTACTGTACTCGCATTTTAGCGAGTACAATCCGAACACCACGCGTCAGCCTGGTTCGGCCTACTTTTCCGCCCCAAACCACTTCCGAGTCGCCACCGCTCCAATCGCAACACTTCCCGATCCATCCTAGCCCGACCCCTTCGCCTAGCTAGGGTTCCCCTTATAAAACCTCGTCACTTTCCTTGTATCGTCATTCAGTAGTTCATTCATTCTCGTTATTCGTTTTACTGCGCACTCTGCAAGTTAATTCATAACACCTAGTATCAGAGCTACTTTCCTAGCCTACCCCGCTTTTTAGAGTGTAATACCCCTCGGGGGGGGGGGACGAGGAAGGATGTCTTGGGGTCCAGGAGTTGCGTAGGCCGGCCAAGAGAACTAGTTAGTTGCTCTTCGCGGCGATGTTTTTACGGGCACTCCTTGGGCACCGCCAGATCCTTAGCTCGAACGGTCGCGATCGACCGTGACCTCCCTCCCCCCGGGCAACGGACAGCTGTAGTTGTCGCGACATTGAACGTGAGTTTTTTCCGCTGCGTCGCGACGATTTCGGAGTTATTTTCGTGTGGCAGCTGGCTTTAACGGACCTGCGTCGACGGCTGCACGAAGATTTCGGAGTCGTCGTCTTGTGCGGCAGTTGACGTGGGTCGTCGTCAACTTGCGCGCGACATTTTCGGAGTGTTGGACCTGTTGACAACGGACATGCAGCACTGTGGGCGACAATTTCGGAACTGTTGAAGAAAAAATAAAGGGGCAACTGTACGGACTCGCCAGGCGCTAAAGTAATTGCGTCTGAAAAAGCTGGTGACGAGGAGAGACGCCACGAGGACTGCCCGATTTATGCGGGAGTCAACTGCCGTCCCGCCCGACCTGTTAAGTGCAGCGGCCTTTACTGCATTGGCGGGCGCGTCATCAACGTTTTCGGCAGAAGTGCATGTGGACAGACGGGAGCTTTGGACCCGCCGACACTTACGGGCTGCAACAAACAACGGAGTGGCTAAATCGCACTCAGCGGAGTGGGACGCAAGCGGCGAGGGCAATTTGGGCCGGACACTCGAAAAATCCTCGTTCGACGCTGCGTGCCTGGAGTTGTTGCCAGCTGTTCGACCGTTTCGAGATCGGTTTCCCCGTCCGGGGAAGTCGTTTTCGGGGACAGCCGCAACAGCCCACGATTAAACGGTGTTCAACGTACTACCCCGTCAATTTCGGAGGTGTGTGGTACAGGCCGCCGGGACACAAGAGAAGAAACTGCCCAGCGGCTAAGCGGGGGTCGAAGAACGGGGTGGGGAGCAGATTAAACGCCGGTGGAACCGATCTGCGGCCCTACTTCGCCCGAACCTCACCATCCCCACCGATTACTGGTTCCGACTCATGCAGTCGACCTTTCTCGGATGAATAACGGGGGTGAACACGTGCCTATCCTGTGCTGGTTAAAGGCACCTGGTTTGGTGCTCGTTCGACAGCTGTACGAAAATACCAAAAAAAGGGAGTTCGCGACACTGTTCTACTCCGACAAAAGCGGGCTGGGTGAACGGCACGCGAAAAAGTCGGGGAGCTGCGATGACAACAACGGTGTAGTTTACTGGTTTCTCCTGACCCGGACGTCTACATGAGTTGACTGCGCAGCGGCGAAGCTGAGACCCGGAACCTTCGGTATTACGTGGCGTGATAGGCTGGTGGGCTGCAAAGCGGTCGGGTGCGAGCTTTTTAAATAAAACTGCCCCGACTCCGATAGCATTTGCGCCTGCACCGTAGCCGGATTATCGCGCGGGCATCATCGACAATACCCCATCCGACAAAAGCGGACGCTGGGTTAACGGCGGGACGCGAAATTGTCGGGGGGTGAAGACAAAAAAAAATGTTGTGGAGGGAAAGTTGTGGGTGATCCAGCAGATCACTTGAGTGAGAGGTTGAGAACGCGCACCACTCCACCGCGAATTTCGGAGTCTATTCGGTAGACCTTCGAAAGGGTTTGATATTTATACATGGAGGCGCGGCGAGGGGTGCATCGCCAAGGATACCTGGGATTCGTTAAGTGGCTTCGACGGGTATGAAAATGGGTGAACATCGGAGTACCAGGGTTAACGGCGGAAACGTCGGGGCTACACGGCGGAAAATAACTTCGGGACTGCTGCCTCAACCGCGATTTTCGGGTGATTACGACAAAAAAAAAATGGGTGGAATCGAGGGTGTTCAATAACACGCCTCCGGAAATTCTTCAGTATACGTGGGAGCAGCCGGAAGCTTCAGAAAATTCCTGCCAACGACGAGCAATCTGCCACGTCTGCAAAGCGATGGCGGGAGAATCGTGGTTTTCAGTTAAACCACATTGGCAGGAGCAGTTCGATGACAAGGTCGTAGGCGTTGAGGCGCGCTAGGCTCCGTGAACGACGGTCTCGGAATAACCCAGGGCAAGTCCCCGGTTCCCGATTATACCCGCATGCTGGGTTCGGGTGAACTGACGGAAACTACTGGTGACTGAGTGGGCGGCTATACTACGACCGAAAATTTCGGAGGAGAACTACACCTGCCGCCGAGAATTTACGGGGGTTTCGACTGTCAGAATCCCAGCCACTAACCACTGGGATAAAAGGGCTTGTTTATGTAGCGGGTGAGTGCGCCCATAACCCCCCAGGCCAACGTGCCTGTAACCCTTCCCTAGGATCAATCGGGGATCACCAGTGGACCTCTGACACCCCCCCGCACTGGGATGCCCGAGGTGCACACACCGGGATTCGAACCCAAGACCTTCGTTCTGATACCATGTCAGAATCCCAGCCACTAACCACTGGGATAAAGGGGCTTGTTTATGTAGCGGGTGAGTGCACCCATAACCCCCCAGGCCAACATGCCTGTAACCCTTCTTTAGGATCAATCGAGGATCACCAGTGGACCTCTGACACCCCCCCGCACTGGGATGCCCGAGGTGCACACACCGGGATTCGAACCCGAGACCTTCGCTCTGATACCATGTCAGAATCCCAGCCACTAACCACTGGGATAAAAGGGCTTGTTTATGTAGCGGGTGAGTGCGCCCATAACCCCCCAGGCCAACGTGCATGTAACCCTTCCCTAGGATCAATCGGGGATCACCAGTGGACCTCTGACATCGACAACGACATTTGCGGAGTTTTACGGACGAACTTACCGGTTACGGCGGGAAGCGCCGACATTTTCGCGGGATTTCTTGGCTTTTGGTTACACGCGCGCGACAACAACGTGAGACAACATCGCGGGAACTACACAGAGTTTTTCAGGGGTACGAGCGACTTACGACGAACTTTAGGTGGCAGCAGCAACAGTGGAAGGGGGGAGAGACAGCTGTAATTTTTTCATCTCTGCCCAGGAGTCACCGGCGCACTACGACAAAGCGTTCGGCGAGTCTGGACAAACCCGCCGGGAGTGATGACGTCATTTGACAAGAACACCGCATTCGGCAAATTCGACCGGAGGGATTTTCGATACGGTTACTACTTCGAAGACGATCGCCAACTCTCGTCTTCAACTCCGCGACCAATCGCCTTCACCACCGAATTTTCGTATCATCCCCGATTTTACTGCCAGAGGATTCGGAATACAACCGCTCCAATTCTACTAACGACAACCCGCTCAACTCGACCCGACAGCGACAAACGATCTGATTTCACCACGTCAGGTGCTGCCCGCTGCAGCTGCGGAAAGTACCATCGAAATTCTAGTGGTGTAACGACAAAATTTGACAGTTCGAGCAACGACGATTTTTCATCGCAGTTTCTGGTCTACTTCGACAAGTTCGCCCTTGAGAATTTTGGGGCCCTTAACACCTGGTTTCTTCACCATTTTCCCACACCGACGCCCTTTCGCCTAATCATCCGTGCTTTTACGTGCGACTTAACGGCTGGTTTTGTTTGTTTTCTCACCTCGGCGCAGCTGTGAAAGTTTTTGTGACAGTTTTCTTGGGAGGGGGGAGAAAGTGCGCTGCACTGTTTTCCTTAGGCATTTTCTTCGGCACGATTTCTGACCTTGTCAGAATGCGTAAGCACGACGTACGACCGCGATTGCCTTCATCGAAATCGATGGTTCCTGTACAGTCGCGACTGATCACCGCGTCAGCAGGTTCCCCCCAAGTTCGCGTCATAGTCGACCGTCAGATCGACTTCAAAGTGCATCAACGGCTTGAATTCCAACTTTCAGTTCGTTTTCGTCAGAAGTGTTCGCGTCCGTCAGATCGAAATCAATCTTCATCTACGGCCCACATTCCAACCCCCAATTCAAATTGGGCCAGGCCATCTGTAGCCGTCATTCCAACCTTTTCAAAATTATTGTACAAGAAATTTCAGCCGTCGGATTCAGCTGAAGAGGATATCAATGGCATACTCGCTAAGGAAGGCTCCATCTACATACAGGGAGGCCTTATTTGGAAGGTGGGAGAGTGTAAGGAATTACAATTCCTTACTGTACTCGCATTTTAGCGAGTACAATCCGAACACCACGCGTCAGCCTGGTTCGGCCTACTTTTCCGCCCCGAACCACTTCCGAGTCGCCACCGCTCCAATCGCAACACTTCCCGAACCATCCTAGCCCGAACCCTTCGCCTAGCTAGGGTTCCCCTTATAAAACCTCGTCACTTTCCTTGTATCGTCATTCAGTAGTTCATTCATTCTCGTTATTCGTTTTACTGCGCACTCTGCAAGTTCATTCATAACACACCTCGTGCGGTTCAACCCCTCGCCTCTCTGCTGACCTACCCCATTCGCGCGTCCAAAATCAGTTGCACCCAGCACTGGTCCTATGCTTGTCCCCGCCCGCCAGCCCCAGTCCCCCACCCCGAACACTGACCCCTGCCATTTTTCTGATCTCAGCGCTCATCCCTGCTCACCCCTGTTCAACCCTTCGCAAACCTGCTTAACCCTGCTTATTCCTGATCCTTCTGGCATCCCACCTTGGGATGATCAATTCAGTTTCAGGCTCAGAGCGAACCGTACGCCCAAGGATTGATTTGTAACCCGCTTGGTTCCGAAGCTGTATGTAGAAGAAATTAATCTCCGCTTTACGGGATTGTTGTGCTCTGCACAGCTGGCAAGCACCATCTTACAATCTTGTTAGGCAGTAATACGGGCGCAGTAGTGATCGAAGCCGGTTAACGAGCTCTTTTCGACCCGCTTTGTTGGAGCCTAGCTCTAGTTAGGCACGATGTCGTTCGAGACTTATTGGGAGAACTTCCAGCAGGCCTTTTGGCAGATCTCACCATATGCGTACTCCGCCATTGGCATCGCCATTTCCATCGGCGTTTCCGTCCTGGGTGCAGCATGGTAGGCAAGGCTTCCGCTTTGGATCTGCTCCACTCGTTTCGCACCCACATAGCCAGTCACATATCTCAATTTATTTTCAAATGGCTGTTCGCAGGGGGATCTTGATTACAGGAAGCAGTCTAATAGGCGCTGCTATTAAAGCTCCGCGGATCACGTCTAAGAACCTCATCAGGTAGGCGTTAGGATCCCCTGTCTCTTCCACCTCTCTTAGGGTTGTGCTTCAATGCTTTCGACAGGTCTCCTCTCATGGGTCTTTAAACTTTGTCATTTGTCTCCCTTCAGTGTTATTTTCTGTGAAGCTGTGGCGATATACGGCGTTATTGTCGCGATCATTCTGCAAACGAAGCTTGAATCCGTCGGCAAGGCCAGATTGCACTCGCCTGAAGCGCTCCGCTCTGGTTATGCCATCTTCAACTCAGGAATCATCGTGGGTCTCGCGAACCTTTTTTGTGGGTAAGTCTCCATTTTCCAGACTCTGCAACCTAAATGGTCAACCAGCACAAAATAGGACCTACCAGCACAAACGCATCTGACTTGCTTCCCCACCCCTAGTCATTTGTGATCGATTGGTCTGCTCATATTGTTTTTCGAGGTCGTCGTGTGCAGGTTGTGCGTGGGCATCATCGGTAGCAGCTGTGCGTTGTCCGACGCGCAGAACTCGACACTATTCGTAAAGATCCTCGTCATTGAGATCTTCGGTAGTGCGCTCGGGCTGTTCGGGGTCATCGTTGGGATTATCCTATCGTCTCAAGCAACATGGGCTTGAAACGTTTCCTCCACGCTTTTCAGGTCCGGCATATTCGACTGTTCATCTAATCAGATGTGCACTGCAGCTGATCTTCAGTTGCCATGTCTGGTAGATCATGCTCTTAAAACTCCTCCCTTTGCTTTTTCCTGGCGCCTCGTTTTGTACTCTGCATGCTGCCGTCATCCTCTCTCCCGCTCCACGCCCCGTTCCCCTTTTCTCCGCCTTCCCTCTCCCGCCGTATGCCATTCATGCCCTAAACTCGACCTTTAGGGCGTGTGTACTATGGCCAAAATTGTCGAATGTTCGAAACTCAACCGCTTTAAACCGTGACAACACGACTCTTAAATTTCTCCTACCATGTACAACCTCTCTTAAAGTTAGAACTTCTGCTGAAGTTCGACCCCCTCGTACACACGCCCTTATCCTCCTGTCCCCTTTCACTCACCTTTTGCACGCTGGTGTCTTTTTTTTTTTGGTTTGTGGTTTACAGATTTCATTGAACCATCAGTTGTGGGACCAACTGATAAGAAGGATGTGCTATGCTAAGACATGCGTGGGATGGTCCGTCCATGTGTAGCTGCTTGCTTCAACAGCATACCGTGGGAATCTCTTATGGTAACCTGGCATGGCATCGTGTCCAATTTAGCTTTAGCGGATTACTGTAAGTGCAGCATTGGAAGGAACTGCAAAGTTGGCAAGCCCAATGTGGATACTGCTGGTTGATAAGTCCGTGATTGGTTGAGCAGAGCTCATTGTTTTCCATGTTAGATTACTGGTAGGCCATGCCAGCAACGTGTAGTGTACACTAATGGCTTCAGATTTCTTGGGTTTCTTTAGCTATAATTACAGTTATATTGCATTTGATGTGCAGGGAGCTTCAAATATCAAAGGTTCTCTATTGCCAGCAAAACATCATGCGGAAAACAAACCCCAGATCGGATTTCAACATGATCAGCTTCACTGAGCCACTGCATAAAGAGGTTTCTGAGACACTCAGCCAACGCAACAAAAACACCCACACTATGTAAACAAAAACACCCACACTATGTGAACAAAAACACCCACACTATGTAAACAACAACACCCGCGAACCATAAGGCCTTCGCCAGGCCTGGAGGCAACCAACCATGTGGTAGGAGAATGACAGTGCCACGCGCAGGTTAAACAGCAATGACGAGCGGCCGCATCATGTCGTTGTCCCCATGCTCCAGTGCTGACAATCTTCAAAGACCCATGTGTCGCCCCCTGAGACCCAAAGCAGTGACCCATGTGGTGGTGGCGCGGCGTGCTACTCGGTAAGGATGAGCGGCCGAATCATGTCGTTGTCCCCATGCTCCAGTGCTGACAATCTTCTAAGACCCATGTGTTGCCCCCTAAGTCCCAAAGTCGAGGCGACACATGTGGTGGTGGAGAGCTACTCAGTAAGGATGAGCGGCCGCATCATGTCGTTGTCCCCATGCTCCAGCATGTGGCAGTGCCATGAATAGCCCGGGCTCTCGGTGGCATTAAAGGAGTACAACTCGCCATCCTGCATGTGGAGACATGCGAGGTCATCCGGACAAGGAAGAACAGGGGTTTCTTTTGCAGCAAGTGTTGAGAACCATCTGGTAACCATCTCATCGTCTAAAAAAGAAAAAGAAGGAAAGAAAGAAAGAAAGAAACCCACAACATTAGATACCGTATCGACATCCATGTGCGAACCTGATGTTGAAAAGTCTAGGGTGAGGCGCCTCAAAACTAGATATCGACATCCATGTGCGAACCTGAGGTTGAAAAGTCTAGTTTTGAGGCGACTCAAAACTAGACACCGACATCCATGTGCGAAGCTGATGTTGAAAGCACTGTTGAGGCTTGGGGAATGCAACGGTGGTGTCTTTCCACCCTACCACCTTCCTCCCCACCACACTGCACCGCATCTCACCTGCCCCATGAACGGCACAAAGATGGTGAGAACGCTGTCCGGGAACACAACAGTCGTGTCCTTCCATCCCTTCTCATAGAGTGGCACTTCCACAGCCGGCCCAGTGAAGCAGCTGGGCTTAGAGGAGGCGGAGGAGGAGGAGGAGGACGACGAGGAGGAGTAGGAGGAGGAGGACGAGGAGGGTGGGAGCGAACACGAGCCGTTGAGATACGCGGTGGAGTTGATCGGACGGCGGGAGATGGGGCGGTACTGAACGAGGTGCAGGTGGATGGGGTGTGTCTCGCAGGTCGGGTTGATGATGTGCCAAATCTCCGAAGTGTCCTGAAAAAAAAAGGGTATTGAGAAGCAAAGAGTGATAAAGAGCGCACCAGAGGGTTTCTAAGAAGGAAAGGAGAGAATTTCGAGCTAACTTGCATTTGTGCAACAAAGGTTGTGATCGTCAACAGGTGCGATCTGGAAGGGAAGGAAAGTTGTGCAGAAATCTGAGCTAACTTGCAACAAAGGCCGAGAAGTAAGAAAGGACTTACTAGGAATGACAGAGACCACAAGAGTGTACTTTCGGGTGGCCTGTCCTGTGCTCACCACTTTGGGTGTCTTGATGGCAGGATAGTTGAAAAAATCGAGAGGTGTCTAAAATATTGCACTACTCAAGTGGCCTTTGCTGTGCTCACCACTTGGGGTGTCTCGGTGGCAGGATCGGAGGAGGGCTTGCCATCCAGCAGCATGCCACTGGGTAACTGCGACACTGGGTCAAAGACAAATGTCAGGGCGAGCCACCGCTCCTTCACTGCCTTCTCGAGGACCACTGGGGGGATGTACTGCAGCGAGGGGATTTAACACGGGTGAAAGGGGGCAGGGAAGAGGGAGAGGAGAGGTCAAAGACAAATGTCATGGCCAGCCAGCGTTCCTTCACTGCCTTCTAGAGGACCACTGGGGGGATGTACTGCAGCGAGGGGATATAACACGGGTGAGGGGGGGCAGGGAAGAGGGAGAGGTGGGGTCAAAGACAAATGTCATGGCCAGCCAGTGCTCCTTCAGTGTCTCCTCGAGCTTCACTGGGGGGATGTACTGCAGCGAGGGAATTCAACAAAATTGAGGAAAGGGGAGGCCGGGATGAGCAAGAGGCGTGATGGCGAGCTGACGCTCCTTCACTGCCTTTTCGAGGTCCACAGTGGGGATGTACTGCAGAGGAGGGGATTCAACATGGGTGAGGAGGAGGGGAGGCAGGAACGAGCAAGAGGCGAGGTTGAAGACAAGCGTGATCGCAAGCGGACGGTGCTTCACTGCCTGCGAGAGGTCCACTGGGGGCAAAGCAGAAGGCTTCATGCGCGAGAGCTGGTTTATGATGAATCGCATGACCACGCCCGTGAACGAGTCAGCGTTCATTTAGCCCACAAAACAGGAGGGAGGGGGGGGGGGGGGGGGGGGGGAAATTTACTGAGAGCTTGCTGGGCAGGGCCGGGGACTTCACGCACGGGAGCTGGTTAATGATGAAGCGTGGCGTGACCACGCCCGTGAACGAGTCAGCAGGATGGGGGGATGGGGGGACTGGGCCGCAGACGGACACAGCAAGAGAGGCACACTCACAGAGAGGCTCATGGGCAGGGTTGAGGACTTCACGCGCGGGAGCTTGCTGATATTGAATCGCATGACCACGCCCGTGAACGAGTCAGCAGGATGGGGGGGCTGGGCCTTAGACGGACACAGCAAGAGAGACACACTCACCGAAAGGCTCTTGGGAAAAGAAGAAGTCTTCACGCGCGGGAGCTTGCTGATATTGAAGCTCATGCAGCCCCACGGGGAAGGGGAGCAAGTGTCATGGCAGACAGACAGAGCTAGAGCGGCAGAGCTAGAGAGTGACACACACACACACTCACAGAGAGGCTCTTGGGAAAAGAAGAAGTCTTCACGCGCGGGAGCTTGCTGATATTGAAGCGCATGACCACGCCCGTGAACGAGTCAGCAGGCAGCCCCACGGGGAAGGGGATGGAGGCGCTGTTGACCAGGATGACGTCCTGGCATGATGAGGGTGCCGCGTTGAAGTCGAGGAGCAGGTCGTGCCGCACGCCCGGGGCGAAGAGCAGAGAGGAGCTGCGCACAGGGCGGGCGAGGTAGCCTCCGTCAGAGCCAATCTGCCCGGGTTGGGGGATGGGGATGGGGAGGGGGATGGGGAGGGGAGGGGAGGGGAGGGACGGGTCACGGGGCAAAGAGCACTGAAAGGGCGGGTCCCAGGGTTGGGGGAGCGGTTGAATGGCGGCGCTGTTGACCAGAATGACGTCCTGGCACGCCGAGGGTGCCGCGTTGAAGTTGAGTAGGAGGTCATGACGTGTGCCCGGGGCGAAGAGCAGAGAGGAGCTGCGCACAAGGTGAGCCAAGTAGCCTCCATCGGAACCGATCTGGCAGGGTGGGGGGGAGTGGGAGGGTGGGGCGGGTGGGGGAGGAGAGGGAGGAGGGGAAAGAGGTGCTGTAGAGGTTGAAGGGGTGTTTTGAGTTGACTCAAAACTCGGCTCAAAACACGATTGTGGGATAGGCCACACCACAGGCGAGTGCAGCGGCGTTGAAGTTGAGGAGGAGGTTGTGCAGCATGCCTGGGGCGAAGAGCAGAGAGGAGCTGCGCACAGGGCGGGCGAGATAACCGCCATCGGAGCCAATCCAACGGGGAGGAAGGAAGTGGGAGGACGGGTCACAGGGTTGGGGGAGCGGGGAGGGGAGAGGACGGGGCAGCAGGCGGGTGCAGTGTTGAAGTCTAGGAGGTGGTATCGTGACTCGTCCCCAGAGCAATGAGCACTGGGAGGAGAACCTTGGCCTCACTGGGAGGAGAACCTTGGCCTCACTGGGAGGAGAACCTTGGCCTCACTGGGAGGAGAACCTTGGCTTCACCATGTAAAAGGGCAGCACGGGTTCACTGAGAGAGGAGAGTTGTCTAGCCCCCTCTAGCCCTCTCTAGCCCCCTGGTGCAAGAGGGTCAGCTAGGAGCACCTCGACCTCACCAGGTAGAAGGGCAGCACGGGTCCAGCAAGAGGGAGGGTGAAATTGGAGTCGCCAGCTGCAGCGCACTGGAAGGTGAGGTTGTACGTGCGCGCGTTGGCTGCATTCACCATGCGAATCCGGTACATCGCTCGCCGAACCTCGAGGTACGGCCAGACCTGAGGGACAGCGGTGAGGGGGGGACGGAATGACATGACACAACGGGGATTAGTTAGAGATGGGGGTGCACAAGGTTTCATTGGTAAAAACAATATCCTCAAAGTTTAATAAAGCAAAAGCTTGCATTGGGGGTTGCAAAAGGCACGCAAACAGCGAACGAATCCCTTTGTCTCACCTTGCCATTTACAACGTTTGTATCGCCGATGTAACCGGGTATCCAGTTGGGGTGTACATTCGGTACAAAGCCCTGGTTCGGATAATTGATGGATCCGTTCGCGAAAAACATCCTGTCGGCAATCACGAGGTGCAGTTGCCGCTCGTCACTTGGCATCCATTTTTTGAACTGCTTCTCTTCGCCCTGCGGGTCGCGGATAATGTACAGCCCCGCCATTCCCGCAGCCATGTTCAGCGCGGTCAATCCCATCGTATGGTCGTGGTACCACAGCGTCGTAGCGCGCTGCATGTTGGGATAGGTGTGCACTTCGGATGCGAATTCGGGTCCGCGCTCTCCACTGGCCGTGTACCATGCCTTGGAGTGGCCGTCAGATTTTCTTGGCGTCTCCCCGCCATGCAAATGGACGACTGCGATGCGAAAAGAAAGGGCGAACGGGAGGTAGAAGCGAAGCGGAGGTTAGGGGCGCGTGGATTTGAACGCTGGAGTCGCTTTCAGGGTGTCAGTGAACTGAAAGCGTAACACTATTCGCCGTTTTTCAAACTTACTGAATCCGAAGTCCACCGTACTGAAACCCCTAAGAATTGAGAAAAGATCGTGAAATGAAGTCGACCAGCCACGCAGACCCTCACAGCAAAGGAAGGTTGCTAATAAACCACTACCATGGTTCTGAGTTCTGACTTACTGATTGGCACACCGCCGTTCGTCAGGTTGGGCGTCATAAGCGTCGGGTCGATGTGTCAAGATAAGCGGTAGTCTTAGGAGCCATAGCTAGGAGAGTCCTAGCTAGGCAAGAGAGTTTAGGCGAAAGAGAGGTTGCACTAGCAAGAATGGGGATACAAATAGCAAACCCTAGAAGGGTTGTACTCGCTACAGAGCACCCCACTACAGGCTAGAGCATAATATTCTGACACACCCCCATAGCCAAAGTGGGGTGTAATCAGCAGAGCAAGCAAAGCAGTACAAGCTCAGGGTGGATCACAATGTCACCACACATTCTGAGCACAAGTTTAAGAAGCAATAGTTTAAAGTTCACAATTATGAGCAAAGCTAGTGGTAGTCACAACTGAGGAGGAGGAGGAGGGCTGGCGAGAGGAGAGTAGATGGGAGGCGACGACTGAAGCTGCAGGCACACGGGCAACAGACGGCTCTGGTGCGACACAGTGGCTACCGGGAGTGAGTGCCCCGGAGTACAGGAGTAACAGGCTCCGCGGCTAAGACGAGCAGCAGGAGCAACGGACCCACAGGCGACGGCGCAACCGGCTCTCTGAGCTACTGGGAGTGAGTGCCCCGGAGTACAGGCGCTGCGTACGACACGACGGCAACCTCCCCTCAACCTCCCCCAACAGTCCCACACCCCTCGACACACACCCCCTGCTGAAACCCTAGCTCCACTCCCATGGCACCCCCCTTAAACCCTAAACCCTCGGCTCCCACACACCCACCCCCCTGAGCAGCAGCTGCAGCAGTGGGAGACGGAGGAGGAGGAGAAGGAGGGGACGGGGCATACAACCGGCACCCCCACACCCCCACCCCCAAACCCTAACACAGGAACGCGGGCAGTAGCGGGGGTGGGGCGCCGACAGAAGCTTGGGGGACGGACGAGGCGCGCGCATGGGTCTGCCGCAGGCGGGACGAGGCGCGCGCGGGCTGCCCGGGCCGCGTGCGGGCCTGGCGCAGCCCGTACGGACCGCGCGCGGGCCTGGCGCAGCCCGTACGGGCCGCGCGCGAGCTGTACAGGCTGCGCGCAGGCCTGGCGCAGCCCGTACGGGCCGCGCGCGGGTCCCAGGGGCGCTTCGACGGGCGACGGAGACGTTTCGACGGGCGACGGGGGGCGCTCCGACGGGCGACGGGGGCGCTTCGACGGGCGACGGGGGGGGGGGGGCGCTTCGACGGGCGACGGGGGGCACTTCGACGGTGGGAAACCGCCGCGCGCCTCGGGGCGCACGGTAGGCAGAAAGCCTTAAAAAAATTTCGCAACAAGGAGGCGTCGCGCGACCGAGGCGCGCGACAAGTAGAACAGCAGCGGAAGCATTAGGTGGTGGGCCCACCCACAGGATCGACCCAAGGGGGTCGACCTGCTCTGATAGCATGTCAAGATAAGCGGTAGTCTTAGGAGCCATAGCTAGGAGAGTCCTAGCTAGGCAAGAGAGTTTAGGCGAAAGAGAGGTTGCACTAGCAAGAATGGGGATACAAATAGCAAACCCTAGAAGGGTTGTACTCGCTACAGAGCACCCCACTACAGGCTAGAGCATAATATTCTGACACGATGGTGAACATGTGCTCCTTGTCCTTGATGTAATTCGGAAAGTTAACCTGCGATCATGGAGCATGTTGAACGATGATGGAGAATGTGAACGTGATTTAGATACACAAATAATTTTTTAGAAGAGAAGGGTTGGGGAAATCGCTGAAGTGGACAGGCCGTGGAAAAAGAAAGGAAGGATTGATATGACGATGGGGTAGCTACTTCCTTCCGTTGAAAAGGAAGACTCATCAAATTACGGGCATGCTAACAACCATTAGATGGGGCAGCTGAGCCCTGTCATGTCATGTCTGAGAAGCAGAAAGGACTCTTCAAAACCTCTCACGGTAAGAACCCGGCAGCGCTGCTCACCTTGGTGGTGACGCCGCGCTTCGCGACGAGCACGGGGCCAGGGTAGCGCGCCGAGTCGCGCGAGACGCCATACGCATACACCTTGGTGGCGGGCAGGTCGCGGTGGAACTTCTGTTAGGGGAAGCGGGCCAGGTGAGCGGAAGGAAGGGGGGCGAGGGGAGAGAGAGGGGGGAGCGTGTGAGCGAGGGAACGGGGAGACGGTGGAAATTTGGGAGTTCGTATATGCAAATCTGGAAATTCACCTGCGAAACGGCGTAAGCGCCAAGATTAATCGTCTCGCCGGTCGACGCGTCGAGGAAGGTGAGAGGCGACGCGGCGAGGTCGTCGACGAACTTGCACAGCGGCTTCTGCGGAAACCGGTTCACGCACCGCGGCCCCGCCAGGGGCTGCGCGCGCGCCATCAGCACCGCGGCGTCTCCGTCATTCGTGCCGCCGAAGCCGCCGACGCTGAGAAGCGCGGCCACGACGACGGCGCAGAGGCGCGCGAACGAGGTGAGACGCGTCATCATCTTCATAATACTGGCGGTTCGATTCACGGCTGCAGTGCTCCGTCACGAGAGTGGCACAGATTGGACGTACTCGCAGCCGCGCCGCGGCTCGATTAGTGGTAGTTGAAGTCGCCGCAGCACGCTGTTGCTCTGCAAGCTGTTGCCGTCGGAGAGAGAAATGGCTCCTCGTAGTAACGTTGTAGTAATGTCGTAGTAATGACAGTAGTACTTCCGCCCGCAAGCACCCACTTGGGCCGAATCGACTCGACTGGGTGAAGGACGAAATCGCAGAGTATGATCGAATGGAAAAACGGAACGCGTGGGACGAGTGAAGAGCCATGGACCCTGACCGCTCTAATATACGCTGCAGCGGCTCTCGCATGGCAGAGAACGGGTGGGGACGGCGCGACGAGCGTGGGGACCAACGGCATGCTGAGCGGGTGCCTCGGCGGAAGGAGCTCGCCACGCATGGCAGAGAACGCCGAGAGAATCCCCTCGAGCGCGCGAGCTCGCCTGGCGGAGAACGCCGAGAGAATCCCCTCGAGCGCGCGAGCTCGCCTGGCGGAGAACGCGGAGGGGAGCGCGGGGGGGAGGGCTAATAATTCGTCAAAACACCAATAAATCGTCTGGACACCAATAATTTGCTGAGAGACTGGAGGGGCGACTCCTAAGCGGAGCGGCTGCGCAGCGGAGGGGGGAGGGATGTGAGCATTGGCCTGCCACCGAAGTGACTACTAAGCGGGATTGAGCTGCGACGTGCCGCGATCATGCGATGTGACGCGATCATGTGACGTGATCATGTAACGCGATCAAGTGACGCGATCATGCGATGTGTGTGGATTTACCGCGCAGGTCTTTTTCTCTCTTCCGCTGAGCAGCCCGCTGTACTGCATCCATTGTTCACGGTGTACGGACGGGCTATCCGCATTGCATAGCTGAAATCGCGTAGGCACGGGGAAGAGGGAGAAGGGGAACGGAGGGGAGGGAGTCTAGCGCGTTCCTATCTCACAGTTGTACAGTTCATCCGTCTTTGTGCAAAACGATTCCAATCGTTTTTTAACGGTTTTCACGATCAACCGTTTTCAACCGTGACAAAACGAGAGTAACCGCTCATAATGAACTGTATTACAGCTGTAAACGAACGCGCTAACCTCGCCCTGATGGAACGAGGCGAGGGTCGCAGACGATCGAGTGGAGGTGAGGTGAGGGCGCGTCACCAGAACAGGCACATTCAGTCAGTCACCGTAGTAAACCAAATTAAAAAATCTAGAAACCGTATCTTACCAAATATAGCCCCTGAATTTAGAGCGTTTGAACAGCCAATGTTCTGCCGAGGTGCGACTCTGGCACATCCTGTGAACATTTCCTCGGACGGCGATGTGGGGTAGTGGTGGGGGACGGATGCTGGAGTGGGGGCATTGGGCGGATGTGAATGTGGGAATCGCTGGGGGGGGGAGGGGGGGGGAGGTTGTGGTAACTCTCTAAGGTAGGTCCGCCCGCCTTGCACGCGGAAAAGCGGGTTGGCAAGCGCATGTTATTATTGACGCATTATTGGCGATCTAAGGGTGTGTGCACTTTTTCTCAGTTTTATGAAAATCAAGCTTTGAGATCTAACTGTCTTCATCATTGTTATTCGAACACCCATTATTCGAACTCTGAACTTTGCCGCGACGTCTTGAAAAAATAGTTCTAAAACACACTTCACAGCTCAAGCAAGTCGTTTCACGCTTAAATCCGATACACCCTTGCGCCCTGTCCTGCCGTTGCGCGCTACCCTGCTGCTGTACGCTACCCTGCCTACTCGAGCGCGCACTGTCTGCGTGTCGACTGCGCGCCGCCCGTGCACAGCACACTGCCGCCGCCCGCACGCAGTACACTGCTGCTACACGCGCGCAGCACACTACCGCCCACGCGCAGCCCACTTCCGTCCACGCGCTGCTTTGCTGCCCGCGCGCCGCCCATTGCAGCTCGCGCGCAGCCCACTATTGCTCGGACGTTGCCCTGCAACCCACCTGGCTTTACTAGGTCGTTTCCTAAGGGTAACCGATGGAGTCTCAGGTGCCCCGGGAGTGGCATGAGACACTGAGGACGACACTTGCGGCTCTTGGCTTCGCTCTTTTTCGACTGTGAACCTATCCGTGTTTCTGCGCACTGACTCTACTTAGCCGCCATTCAAGATCCTTGTGCACGACGACGACTTGGTCTTTGCGATTGCTGATAGTGAGGCACTTGCAGAAGAGACACACCTGCACAGTTTAGGGTGAACCGAGCTTACTTGGCTTGTAGATCATCTAGAATAGAGCAGCGTGCACCATCACTCTGATTCGGTCACACATGGTGCAGCAAGTCATTCCGCAGCTCAGCTTTCAGTACTCCTAGCCACACCTCACTCCTCTGCCTACAGGCCACTCGCCCTCAGCTCCACCTTCGGAAGAATCGTAGAGCCCAGTGGTCCGTATCCAGAGCTTGTGTGTTGCCTCATGTACCTGATAACGCCCTCTAGCCTGTCCTTTCGTACCCTCTTAGCATCTTGACTTGACACACTACGCTGCGCTCGGGAGACACCGACCAGAGCACTGGCTGGCGGGCTGCTAGTAGGGTGCTGTGCTAATTGGCCAGTACACCAGGCTTGGGACTTATTCTTGAGGGACGAAGTTTGGTTGTGCTAACAACACTCAGACGCTTCATGGCAAAGCATACACGGAGTTCTCGCCGTTTATTTTTTTACCAACTCTGAGTTTTCAGCATTGACACCGAGTTCTTATTGCTTTATTCCCTAGTTAACACTGATTGTCAGCGTTTTCTTCTGTACCAAGGCTGATGTCCATAACGAATCTAGGGTCCCGCGTCATAATGAGCGGCCTCATCATGTCGTTATCAACATGCTCCACGGCATGGCAGTGCCACACATAGCCCGGGCTCTCGGTGGCATCAAATGGGAACGGCTTGCCATCCTGTACATGGAGACGTGCAAGGCGATCCAGAGAAGGAAAACAGAGGGTTGGCATTGCCAGTACGGTTGAGAAGAGGTATGGGACTGGTGAAGAGAGGTATGAGAGTGTACTGAGGAGTGGTCAGGTGAAGGGGCGAGTTGAAGGCACTGAAAAAATCAGACACCAGTGTCCTTCCTTTGTCCCCATCCCCCTCTACACCACCTCATCTGATTCAGCCCTAACCAAACAAGAACTTACCTAACACCAGCGTAGACAGCTCACCTGACTTTTGAACGGCACAAAGATGGTGAGAACAGTATCAGGGAACACAACAGTGGTGTCCTTCCATCCCCTCTCATGCAGCGGCACGGGCCGGGCCGGCCCGGTGAAGCAGCTTGGCTTGGAGGAGGCGGGATCGAGCGAACAGGAGCCGTTGATTAGCCCGCTAGAGTTGATCGGATGGCGGGAGATGGGGCGGTGCTGAACGAGGTGCAGGTGGATGGGGTGTGCCTCGAAGCTCGGGTTGGCGATGTGCCAAAGTTCCGAAGTGCCCTGAGAAAAAAGGCAGGTAGTGACAAAAAACACACCACACGCAAAAGTATTCAGACAACTGTTGTGAAGGAGGGGAAGGCAACAAGGATTAGCAGACTTCTTAGAAAACTATGGCCAGCAAGTATTTCTTCTCAGGTGTTCTGTGTTCACCACTCTGGGCTTCTCAGTGGGAGGATCCATGTAGGCCTTGCCATCCAATCTAGCAGCATGGCGCTCAGTCTCTGTGACGCCTTGTCAATTGCAAACACTATGGCCAGCCAGCATTGCTTCTTGGGTGTTCTGTGCTCACCACTCTGGGCTTCTCGGGGGTTCTGTGCTCTCTGTGCTCACCAGTCTGGGCTTCTCAGTAGCAGGATCCAAGTAGGCCTTGCTGCCTTCCCCATGGGGAAGGGAAGGGACGGGGAAGCAGGGACAGGGTGAAGAGAGGTGCAGGTAAGGCACCAGTTAGGCGCAGCGTTGAAGTCGAGGAGCAGGTCGTGACGCGTGCATGGGACAACAAGCAGGAAGGAGTGGTGCAGAGGGCGGACGAGGTAACCACCATCGGAACCGATCTGCAAGAGGGGTGAGCAAGGGTAGGGAGGAGAGGGGAATAAGGGGTGTCAGGAAGTGAGAGACAGGAGAAAGGATGTGAACCATCTGGGTGGCATTGAATGATATCATTGTTTCAAGTGCAACTGTAGGGTAATTACCCATTGGTGAGGACGTCAAGATTGAAAGCAGCTACATCAGAGTAGCACCAGGTAGGAACCTTGTTCGATTCTTACCAGGCGGAAGGGTAGCACGGGTCCGCCAAGAGGTGATTTATCTAGCGCAAGTGCATCAGAGTTACCTAGGAGCCTCGTTCTCACCAGGTAGAAGGGCAGCACGGGTCCAGCAAGAGGGGGATTGAAGTTGTGGTCGCCACGCCCAGCGCATTGGAAGGTGAGGTTGTAAACACGCGCATTGGCCGCATTCACCATGCTGATCCGGTGCATTGCGCGCCGCACGTTGAGGAATGGCCAGACCTGAGGGACAGCGGTGGGGAAATGGCACACTGTGATTGGTCAGAAATGGGGGTGGAGATCCATCACAGAAGCACTACGATTTGATCAGGCAGAATGCAGAACAGGCATGTATTGGTAAAAAAAAAAAAAAAAAAAAAAAAAAAAAAAAAAAAAAAAAAAAGCAGAAGAAATCATCTCTTTGTCTCACCTTGCCGTTCACAACATTTGCATCGCCGATGTAACCGGGTATCCAGATCGGGTGCACGTTCGGCACGAGGCCCTGGTTCGGATAATTGATGGATCCGTTCGGAAAAAACATCCTGTCAGCAATCACGAGGTGCAGTTGCCGCTCGTCACGAGGTGCAACTGTCGGCAACCACTTCTTGAGCCGCCTCTCCCTGCCCTGCGGATCGCGGATAACGTAAAGCCCAACCAATCCCGCGAGCAAGTTCAGCGCGGCCATGCCAATCGTGTGGTCGTGGTACCACAGCATCGTAGCGCGCTGCATGTTCGGATAGGTGTGCTCTTCATATTCGAACTCGGGTCCGTCCTCCCCGAAGGCAGTGTACCACGCCATGGGGTGGCCGTCGGATTTGCTTGGAGTCTCCCCGCCATGCAAATGGACGGCTGTGATGACAGCAGAGTGATTGGAAGGTGGAAAGGAAACGAGGCAAAGGCGCGGAGGTTAGGGGAAAGTGGTTTGGAGAGCTGGGGATGCATTCAGGGTGCCAGTGAGCTCAAGAAAAGCTAGGGACACGTTCAAAGGCAACGATCTCTACCGTTTCAGAAACTTGATCAACCGTACCGAAACGCTGCAAAGCCAGTCGAAGGTATAGCAGCCAGGTAGGTCCTCTCACAACAAAGAGGGGCAGGTTGGAAATAATACCAGGTAGGATGAAATAATTAGGCAGTTAGCATTTAATTCCCCACAAGAGTTTGCGAGGGCACTGTGCACTGTACCCAAGCCAGCAGAAGTTACGACGACTGTAGTTGGTGTTTTCTTGCATTGTATAGAGCAATGTCACCTTCAAATACATAATAAAGAAGCATTGTTGACTTACTGATTGGCACACCGCCATTCTTGAGTTTGGGCGCCGTGAGAGTCGGGTCGATGGTGAACATGTGCTCCTTGTCCTTGATGTTGTTGGAGAATTCCACCCGTGATCGTGAACATCATGTTAAACAGGAGCCTTTTTTGAGCTGACTTAAAACGTGAGAGTCGGGTCGATGGTGAACATGTGCTCCTTGTCCTTGATGTTGTTGGAGAATTCCACCTGCGATCGTGAACATCATGTTAAACAGGAGCCTGTTTTGAGCTGACTTAAAACGTGA